TACTGCTGAAGTACTGTTAAAATACTTAAGATACACTTATGTGTCATAGACACTAGCTCCGCTATAAAAGCAACAAATCCCAACTTCTCGCATTCTATTCATTCTATTCATGCCACATAGTGGCGCCTTTCGGCTTGTCGGGATCAATATCATAAAAATGGTAGAATGGACCGATACTCAAATACGTATCCTCATCGATGAGCGTAGAATAGAAATGAAGAATATCATAATTTTGGAAGGAATCGAATCGGATTTTGGGATAGCATCGCAACCAGAATTAATCGAGAACATAATACGAGCTTTAATGGACACCAATGTAAAGAAAAGTTTATGAATCTTGTTCGGGATTACAATGTACATATGGCATATTAAGGCTCGAAGAGCCATTGCTTCGCAATAGAATTTTTTCCTAATTTTTTTGCTTACATCGCTATTATGACTAATAATTTATGTCAATTAGTTGATGTGATTATATGGCAATGCAAGGGGAACAACACAAAAAATATATCATAAAGGAGAATCCAATAATTTTATCAAACAGCCGGCACGGGATCGATTCAAGAAAGAATTGTGTGAAGAAAATTGGATCGTTTAAAGGTATGTTTGGTATTACGAAGATCCACATATTGTTATTCCAGAGCATCTTCGAGAATTGGGTCTTATAGAATAGAGATAAAACTTTAAATGCTCATAATCATTACACATGTACATTTAACGAATAGTAAATTAATCATGTAATTAGCGTTACAAAAATAATGCACTCGGATTTTTTATTGTTTAAATATTACGAAAAAATAACGTGCACTTGTATCGTTAAAGTGCATTTATACAGCAATGCTATAAACGAATTTAATCACATGACTATCCTCTTAGGATTTATTGAAATATATGATCGTACAAAATAAGCTCATTCGATTTTAAAAAAAATCAAACCGCGGAATCCTGCCCTCCCCTACCACGACCTCTACCCCTTCCTCTCCCTCTTCCCCTTCCCCTATTCCTTTCTCCTTCTTTTGATATCTTTGGTAAAAATTCTGCAAATGTCACAGCTTTTGGCCGTTCTGGTGTGACTCCAGTTGGATATTTAGTTTTAGGTTTCGCGATATGTCGCTTTCCTTCCTTTACAAACATCTCAAACATCCTAACCTCCTTAAGAACATTATATCGTAAACATAAGAGTGTTCGAATAAGTCGAGGTACATGTTCT